CTCGAGTGTTGTTTCTCGAGTAAGTTCAGCCCACCGAACAAGCCTAGAGAAAGTTGCAAAGGATAGAGGGGTGAGGGAGAGCAACAGAGAAAAATGAGAGAGAGAGAGAGAGAGTATGTGAGAGAGGCAGAGTGACAGAGATTTGGGGCCCGTTTAGTTCGCTGATTCGAGTTTTTAATTCGAGTTGAGATGTGACTTTATGTGAGAGCTTTTTACTATAGCAAAAAAGTTAGATGTGATTGTTTCTGAGAGCTTTTTACTGTAGCAAAACTCGAATTCTAAACTCGAATCGATGAAGTGAACGGGGCCCGAAAATTTTGAGAATTTTTAGTTTGAAAATTTTGAGTATTTTAGGGGCATTTTTTGTAATGCATGAGATGTTAAAATATCTAATTGAAACTTTTGTGCTATTTACTAAACATCCTCTAATATCTGCTATAGTTTGAATTACCCCTCTCAAATCTGTTATTTCCTTCATTCACCCATCACTCAATTGAACACACATGTTATAGGCCCAAAATTAGATAGCATATAATGTACAATTAATGTTAATATGTAGGTCCACTATCAAAAATTCCCAACAATATTCCCAATGTACATGCATATACATGCAGAATATTCTCATTATCTATCTATATATAAGAAGTGACACATTAGTCACATTGTTGGGCGCGCTTTAATCAAAACCTAAGAAGTATAAATAATGACACTGTTGGGTACTTTTCGACCAAAATGGCTTCGTTTTGGTCGAAATGCCCCCTTTTTTCAAGTCTTTTTTCTTTTTTATTTTTTACTTTTTACCCTAAAATTTATTATTTCTTCATTTTAATTCTTTTTTAGCTTTTTTTTTTCATTTTTGTCCTGAAATTTTATTTTATATTTTGTTTTAGTTTTTTTATCTTAAAACTTATTTATTTTTCATTTTGACCCTTTTCTAACCCTTTTTTTTATTTTTACCATAAAGCTTTTTTTTTCATTTTGGTTCTTTTCACCCTCGAACCTATTTATTTTTTCAATTTAGTCCATTTTCACGATCGGGGTGCGAGTGGGCAGACGACGTTTAATCTCCTCTTGGTATCTTGAACTTATTCCAACCACAAGAGAGTCAAAAGAAAAATCGATCTTGATATTTATTTAATTTTTCCTCTCAGGAACTCTTACCAATAGCCCCCAAAAAATCTCTTAAGTGATCTAATGAACAATGTGACTTACTGGGCTATTTATAGAGTTTAAGAAGTCATATCCCACAATAATTAGGTTTCTCAAAGCCAAAATCGCGTAACAAATTGCATTAAGTTGGTTTTGCTATGTCAGCAGTTATGACCGGTCGACCGGTCCCGAGCCTTTATAAACCCACCAGTCGACCGGTGCCAATACGTAACATGTACAAAAGTTATGTTTCAGTTGACCGACCTCCATCACAGGTCTACCGGTATTGTTCTAATTTCCCATTTTCTTAGTTTATTTAATATGAAAAACTTGCATAAAGCCTCACCTTTAATCAAAATAACCCAATGTAGAAGTTATCTTATTTAAACAGTCATATGATAGCTTTTTCATATTCAATAAAACTAAAAACAATAATTCAACCAATTAATCTTGAATTAATTTAACAATTAATTGACTCGATAAATAATTCATGAATTAATCATGGATCTCATACTTGACTTTGAACCTTTAACGGAAATAACATAAGTTACTAATATGTAGGAAACACATTGTATCATTATAGAAAAATGAGCTAGCAAAAAGACCTTATGGACATATATAGATCAAGCTCCTATGATCATGACAGTACTTGTTCACTAACAAGTTCATCACATGATTATAAACTCTAGTGCTATTCAACAAAAAGTCTAGAACTGCACTCTCGATTTATATAATATATTTACAAAACTCTGATTAGCTCTCGTCCATGACTTATTATATTAGTGTATCATCCTGATAGGATATCCATAATCGACTTAACGTCAAGTTCTGTTTTACTTACCCGGTCATATTTATCTTATGTTCCATTATCACTTTATTGGAAAATCTACTATTCATACCAATACAAATAGTAAACCATTAGACAACACAAAGTAGTCTAATGATTGAGCTCTCGTATTTTTAATCCACGGATAATGACGTAAGAGGATATCATTAACTCTTTATAAGAGCTATGAATTCCCTATGTATGAATAATAAATCTATGCACACAAGAGTCATATCTCCAACGTACCGGTATGCGTACCTTTACATTATGTTAGGATGTCACTTAGGATTAAGATGATCACATATAATTAATCAAAAGTAAATTGTTTTATTCAAATAGAATTATTAATTAAAACAATTCAACTTTGATCTGATCAAATATATATTCTACACTTAGGAACTTTATAAACGTCTCTATCTATGGAGTCCCACTTCAACGACCAAGACAAACCATCTCTGTTAGGAAGTAGACAACATATATAACAATCTTAACATGAATAAAGTGCCCAATTTTATTCACTTTATTACGGATCATATGTTTACAATATCATCTATAGATTTATGTTTTTTACATGTTCTTCTCATTACATGCACGATCTTAAGACTTATGCTCTGTTTGGTAAGAAGGAAAGAAAACGGGAGGGAAAGAAAAACTATAATGCATAGAAAATTAGAAGGATAGAAAATATTTTGATATTCCCTTGACTTGTTTGGTATGATAAGGAAGAAAAAAAATAAATCTATCTTCCCTTATTTGGAATTGGAAGTGAAACTAAAGGGATGAAAAAATTATTATTGGTGTAATTACTTTTTTACCCAAATATGTTTTATTAATATTATTTTCTAATTAAAGTATAAATAATACTGTATTCAACATCAAATTAACTCAAAAAATTCATGTAACTTAAACATATATTCCATCTATATTATGTATATATACACACACATTAGAAATTTTCTACAAAACAAAAACCTTTTATGTATACAATACACACATATTGCCAATGCAATGTTGATGATATTATGGCTTGATTAATATTGTAATTATTGTGATAAAAAATGGTAGCTGGATTTTTTTTTTGAAAAAAAAAGAAAAATATATTGACATATTTGTCGTTATTATAATATATGCACCAATCTGATTTCTCTCTTTCAAATTTTTGGCTGTAATTGATAAGACAATTATTGAAATATGGTTTATCATTTCCTAGTATAAAACCCCAAAATCATATCTCTGCGATGAATCAAAGTTTTCTGTTGATGACTTACTATGAATCAAGTTATTTATCCCAAAAAAAAAGTGCCAATTTTTAGAACCAACTTTCGATGAAAAATGAGGACAATTTAGTAATTTGACTTCATTTAGGTAGTTATTCACATTTTTCTTCCTAAAATCCTCCTACTTTTATGCTATGTTTGGTAAGAAGGAAAGAAAATAGGATAGAAAGAAAATATGGAAGTGATGAAAAATAGCAATGATGAAAAGAAAATTAATTTTCTTTTATGTGGAAAGAAAATGAGCTTACTTTCACTTGTTTGGTATTGGAAGTTAAATTGGGAGGAAAGAGAAAATCTTACTCGTAAATTACTTTTATACCCTTAAATTTTTTGCTTGGATGTTGATGGAGAAAATGGTAGTTTAGTAACTTTACTCACTTTAATTAGTTGTCCCTATTTTCCATCTCATTTTCTGTCCATTTGTGGAAAGAAGAAAAATGGTGGGATCCACGTGGATTATTTTCCACTCCATTTTCTCTTCCTTTCTCTTTTCCTTGCTACCAAACAAACATTTCCATTTTCTCTCCTAAAATCTCTCCACATTCTTCCTTCCTTCTACTTTTCTTTCCTACCAAACATACTTTTAGAGAGATTAAATATGGTGAGACCCGCCAATCACAATTTCTATTCAATTTTCTTTTTTTTTTTTCCTAATTTTCTTTCTACCAAACAAGCTAACTTACCAATTTCCATCCTAAAATCCCTCCAACATTTTCTTTCCTTCCACTTTTCATTCATACGAAACACACTATTAGAGTGACAGTTTTAGACTTTCAGTTTGTTTATCATATGTTGAACAAATATGAATATAAAGAGGATAATACATAAATATATACAAAAAACTTTATTGATTTCAGAACGACATAAAGGAATGATTACATTTATTTCTAAAGCCATAAACTCTAAGCATCACCCCTATTTTACTTTTATCCTTGAGTCTTATTTTATTTTTTGTTTTAATTTTTTGCCTAATTTTATCCTAAAACGTTATTTTTTTCGTTTTGGTTATTTTTACCCTAATACTTTCTTCTTTACTTCTTTATTTTAATCTTTTTTAACCATTTTCATTTATTTTTTGTCCTAAAATCTCATTTTTTTTTCCGTTTTGGTTATTTTTATCTTAAAACTTATTTCTTCATTTTTGTTCTTTTTGACTTTTTTTTTTATTTTGTCCGGCAACTTTATTTTTTTTCGTTTTGCTCCTTTTTGCTTAAAACTTATTTATTTCTTCAATTTAGTCTTCTTTTTTTACCCCTTTTGATTTATTGCCCTAAACTTTATTTTTTCCTTTTTTATGAGATTTTATATTCAAATTTTTTATGTTTTTAATAATAACACGATAATTAAAACTTGATATATAGATTACTTCGCACGTGCATAACACATAGAGTTCTACTAGGAATATAACTAAAACCACATTCGATCTTTGTTCTACGATTTCACTTCAAGGGTCTTGATAGCTTTTGTGACTCTCTTACTATTTAGGGCTTTAATTTTTTCACAACTCAAATTCTTTTATTATAATTTCTTTTTTTATAAAAATTAAAACTTAACTTTTTACTATTACTTTTCTCTCACATAAACAATTCAAGTAAAACAAACGTGCCCTAGATTTTGCCACGTTGTAGAAGTTGTAACAGTGTTAACGGGGTTGAGAAAAGAAGAATTTTACCACGTGGTATAAGTATAAGCGTAAGATTAGGGTTCCATTAAGGAAACCTTAAGGATTAAAGAAGAAACAAGTGAGGAAGAACGGTGCTGCGACTTCTCTACACCCTCCTCTTTCTCTTCCACTTCCACTTCCTTTTCCTCAAGGTTTGCGTTTTCTCATTTCAACTTCTCTCTTTCTCTCTTTCGACTTTTTCTTTCTATTTTGATTCTGGATAAACTTTTTATTTTTCCTGGAAAATTGATTTTGATTGACGAAATTTTGAAAACAAAAAGGCACCGGATGAAATTTGAAGAATCGGATCTGTGTTATGTTCCAATCGAAGAAACTGATCTGCGATTGAATCTGTTATGTTGTGATCCGTTTGAAATTTATTGCTTATTGCACTTGTTGGATGGATTTATTTTGGCCTGTGATCTTCTAGTTCTGGTCTTTTTTTTTTTTTATGGAATTTCTAGAAATGCAATTCGAACTTAGTGAAGAATGTGAATAGAGAAGAAATATGATAGTCATTCGTATATTTACGATTTACTGAGTTTGTTATCGCCATCTGCGTTGCGTGGATACAAATGTGTGTATATATTGTATTAGAAGTTTCTTAGGAAATACTGATGGAGGTTTTTCAAAAACTCGACTTTAATGTAAATCCTTGACGCTAGTTAAAAGGCAAAAATATATATTTGCAATAAATAAATTAGAAGTGTTCCGTATTATTAGAATTTATTTTATTTTGTCATTCTTTTTGTCTTCTTGTTCCAACATGAAAAGGAAAATGGAGGGCAAAGAGGGGACAAAAAAAGACAAAAAGTGTAAAAACCTAATAGTAATAACAACAAATAGCGCTAATGCTCGTGTAAGTTATCCTGTCACGAGCATTATTGCTCTCCAAGGCTAGCACGAGCACTAATCCTCTTCAATAATAATAATAACAGAAAGGAAAAAAAGAGCAAGTTTTACTCTTACAAAAGAGGAGGAGGAGGAGGAGATACGGTGTCTCATTCTTATCTTATATATAAAAAAGGCAAACATTTGATCTCATATCGCGCAAGCTTCCGAGCAACAGCCGCTCCATACCAAGTTTGAGCTTCACTTGAAAATCTTTTTGTGTGCATTATCTCTGATGTGAACAAGGTCCAAGGCCAAGTTCAGCAAGTCCAGACACTGGGACACAAACGGCCATGACACTGTCTAAGTGAGAAGCCAAGTTTGACAAGCCCGAGCATCGAAAGATTATTATAAACAACTGCGAATGCGAACTTTAGTCAGTTGAAGGCACTTAACGTTTAGAGTTAAAACATATTCAATGGTCTGTTACATCAATAGCTGAATCAATTCTTTGCGTTAAGGAGAGAATAAATCTCATAATTAGGAGGGAATTAAACACCTTTACTAACAATCTATTTTAAATTGTGGCATTACACCTGTACTCTGGTTTTTACTTGTTTATTCTGCAGGTTTCTTAGCGCATTATAAGTGTTCATATAACGTTCTTGACTAAGTCATTTGTTTCATTTGAATTACTAGTTTAAGGATGATCATTTAGTGTTTGACGGAATTTTGCTTCCAACAATAAGAATAAGTACTAATTTCTCATTTTCTTTTGATTTGCAGATTTGTACAAATATGGCTACAGCTTGTTATTCATCGTCTACTATGCCTACTCCGCAAACAAAAGATGGTTTTGGTAGTTGTAGATCTAAGGATGTTTGTTGTTTCTTTGTTAGGCATGGTGATGCTGCTTTACGTCAAAAGAAAATACAAAGCTATATTAATAGGCAACGTCTGATAGGAATTTGGGGTGCACTTATGCATGCAATTCAAGAATCAAAACTTTCTGTAATCATTTTCTCGAAAAACTATGCTTCTACTTCATGGTGCTTGGATGAACTTGCTAGAATACTTGATTGCAAGAAGGAACTTGAGCAATTGGGTGTATCCGTAATTTATGGTGTAGGTCCAAGAGTTGTTCGAAAACAAACAGGGGCTTATGCAGCTGCATTTGATAGACATGAAGAGCGTTTCAAGCATGACCCGGACAAGTTGCTAAAGTGGAGAGATGCTCGGACCAGGGTAGATCAATTAAAAGGGTGGGAGTCAAGGAAGTACAGGTACCTGCAATTTTTGTTTTCTACTTATGTTAATAATGTTTCTCATGTTTTGTTTCGGTTTTGTGAGTATGGTTTATCATTGCTATTTCTAAATGATATATCAACTACCAAATTAGTAACTATTAAATCAGTAATTACATGCTATCAGCGAAAAATGATGCTAGCAAACTTGGTCTCGGCTTCTTAGTCCCCCTTCCCATCCCCTAGGAAAAATATGCCGTATCAATTAACATGTCATAACAAGTAAAATAAGAATGGTTAGCAAAAGAAACTCATGTTGCCTGGCTGTTTTTCTTGCATCACTAGCTAGCCAAACCATTTCAAACGTAGATAGTTACCCATTTGGTGACAGAGCTATCAACTTACAGTTGGACCATTAGTAATTTTATCAAACAGTATGCTGATAAATTTTTATCAAACTGATTGGTGATGTAACCAACTGATTGTTTTTAGTCACAAATTAAATCAGACTCATCTAGCATTGGTGAGCTTGCGGTTTTTTTTCCAGTGTTAATTGCTTTTCTAGTAATGGAACATTCGTGGGATGAAGCATAGTAAGGGACCAGGCAGGGACGGATCCCCTATTGTAATTTAGTTGAAACAATATGATGTGCAGTAAAACCTTTTAAAATAATTTATGTTGAATTTTTTCTAGGGGAGACAGTGAGGGAGACGAGGAAGATGGTTGGAAGCTAGCTGTTCCCACTTCCCCGAACCCAATGTAGCTCTGTCCCCTGAGGCTTATGACCTATCGAACGCTAACCGACATGAATTGTAGGAGAACCAGAAAAGGTCAATGCTTGTTCTAAATTAGGTTTTGTACGTTGAGAACTGGGGAATAATTTGAGAATTGGGTTTGGGAATGGATGATGAAACTAATAGGGTGGGGTTGTGATTCAAAAGAAAGGTATCTTATTTTTTTCCTATGTATACTTTAGCCTATGTTTGGAGCTCAGATTTTTGGAAGAAAAGAAAAGAAATCATTTTGAGGTTTAAATTTTTTTATCCTTTGGAACACAGAGAATGGGTTTAATGAAAAATTAAAGAAAATCTGGAAAAAATTAAATAGAGCAGGTGGATTTTTTTTTTTTCCCTCACCTATGGGAGAAAAAATTTAATCTAAAAAAATTTGCACGTATTCCTCATTCTCTCTTTTGCCCTCTCTCATTGTTCCTTCATACCCTTGTAATATTTCAACACTTTTTCATCACTTTCTCCGCTCAGTATCTCATTCACCGTTAACATTGTTAGTCCCCCGAACTATGAGCATTGTGACACTTTGGTCCATCAACTTTTAATTTTGACAAGTTACTCTCTAAACTATTTTTTGTCGGTTTTGTTCTCTAGCAATAAAATTCACAATGAATTTATGTAATTTAATAGAGGTAATTGTGTTTGCATTGCATGATAACATGAAAATGATATAGAAATAGTTAACATTAAGTGCAAAACGTTCTCTTCACTAATGTTATAAACCCTTGAAAACCAGAACATTGTGCACTTAATGTAATTTGCAAGAGACCAAGATTGTCAAAAAAAAAAAAAAAAAAAGTTTTTGGATTAATTTGCCAAAATTAAAAGTTCAGAGACCAAAGTGTCACAATTCTTGTAGTTCAGAGACTAACAATGCAATAACCCTATCTCTTTACCTCACCTCGGCCTTGGCCCTAGCCTTTTTCCCCAACACCTGACCTTAAGTTTCACCCCAACGTTGACTTAGGCCCCTACCCAGGCCTTGACCTTGTCCGTGTCCTTGACTCAACCCTTATCTCAACTTCGACCCGATCAAGTCCCCTAGTTAAAAAAATCTGGGAACTAAATTGTGAAAACAAAAAATAGAGATAAAACTGCCAACCTATGAGAAGTTCAGGAAGGATAGATACTATAATCTATCCTCAAAATGTAGAAAGTTTATTAATGTATAGTTGATTAGCATTCTTTTTTATTTTGAGTTTCTAGTACTTGTGCCATTGAACTTTTCTTGGTCTTTCCTTTTCATGTATGAACTTTCTTTCTTGAAAATTTGGTCTCTGGATTTTCAAAAGAAAACACACATGTCCTCATCAATTTTCTTCTCTGTTCTCTCGTCTATTTCGCTTTACCACTTTTGAACTCAGTTCACTTTGTTTTTGCCTAGAAAACTAGTACCACTTACTGTCTCGTATCCTAGTTTTCAACTAACTTACCTTTGTTTTTGCGTAGAAGTGATTTTATACAAGCGTTGACCGATGATGTACTGGAGCTGATGGTGAGTGTAGGTAAAAAAATACTTGAAAATGGTACCTCTGAACAATCTGTAGAGATGGCTACAGCAGTTGATGATAAGTCAAAAGACAGCTATCCCATTCGGCCAAGCCAACTCGATGATGATTGCCTTGAAAGTATCTTAATTAAATTCACTTACTACAAGGATTTGACTGATGACGTACAGAATCTACTACCCAAAGATGCAAATGTTGACTCCCAATCTGTAAAGACCGCAGTTGATGATGAGTCAAAAGACAGCTATCCTGATAAGCTAAGCCAACTCCACCACAACGGTTGCCTTGAGAAGATCTTAAAAAAGGTCCCTTACTACAAGGATTTTGTGGCCTTTTCGGAGGTCTGTCACTCGAGCCGAAGTGTTTGTTCCAATATGGAATGGGATGAAGGTCCCAAACCTCCTTGTCTTATGCTCTCTGAGAATTCGGGCAGCTCCTCTCACTCTTTCTTCAATCTCCACAACAACAATGGTTTCATACTAGAACTACCTGCAGTTGTAAGAAGGCGCATTTGGGGATCTTCCTATGGTTGGCTTGTAACTGTTGACCCTGAACTTGAAGCCCAACTTATGAATCCCATTTCGCAAGTGTGCATCAATCTCCCACCTTTCCCAACAATGCACAACCAGCTTTCTAGGAAAAATCAGTTCCACATGATACATAAAATCCTAGTGTTCAAGATCAAGATTGATAAGTTCCTTCTCATGGTAATTTTTAATCCAGAAAATTGAGTGGCTTTTACCCGGGTACCAGGAGATGGAGAATGGATTTGGATTAGCAATCCAGAAAAGCTACTTTTCAGAGACATCTCTTACTTACGAGGCCAAGATCAAGTATACGCACTTTGTGATGATGGCTCACTTGTTAGGATAGAGTTTGCTTTCCACAACATATCAGGTAAAATGAGTTCTACAGTCAATGAATTAGTGAAGTTGATGGAGTTTTCTGGGCCTCTTTCTGCAAAAGTTGAGCTCATTGCTGCCCATCCCATAGGTGAATCGGTCGGGCCTCTGCCTGAAATGGAAAGGACAGGCAGAGCATACTTGGTGGCGTCACCTGATAATGATCTTTTCGGGGTTTTCCGCTACAGCGAAGATATGGGGTCTGATCAGAGAATGGTGGAGTTTGCAGTATACAAGTTCAATCCTCGAGGCGTCGGGTGGGAAAGTGTAATCAGTATTAGGGACAAGGCCTTTTTCGTTGGCAACAACACCTCATGGAGCATTTTTTCTGCAAACACTGTTAATTGCAGGAAGAATAGGATCTACTTTACGGATGACAATTGGGAGCTAGAGTGGTTGCACAATGTCCAGGGTCTTGACATTGGCGTTTATGACATGGAAACGCGAAGAACTGAAGGCCTTGGTTTAGGTGTGTCAACTTCAACTTCTTCACTCGTCCGCTCAACTTGGACAACGCCTGGTTTGACCCCAAACGCTTTTCGTTAGTTTTTCTGCATTTATTGAAAAGAATTCAAAAAGGAACTATATATTATATTTTCGCATCCTTGCTGTGCGTGATTATGGGCTCCGGATTTCAGTGACTTATACGTCATTTATTTTATTTTATTTTTTTGGCTACCGGATGACTATAGTTTGTGATTGATAATTGAACTAGGCAAAGATATATGTACATGTGTTATTACTTGTTAGGATTTATATACTAGCAAGTAATAGCTCATCCTTTTCTTTTAAATTCATTGTTCCGTTCATTGGTTTCTCCCTTTTATTGATGCACAGTTAACATAAAAGAAAAGTTGAACATATTCTATTTTTGTGGGTGATGTTTCGATGCGTTTTCTTTTAACTCGATTTTGAAGTTATAAGTACTTAAAAAATATACCTCCTTAAGTTTTATGGTTTTTGAAGTAGAGCAATCCCAGAACAGGAATTTTCTATCTTTCTATAACTATAATAGAAAGGAGAATGCATTTACTATTCACGAACATATTCTGTTAGTACATGCAAAATTACCTTGTAAATGCTTCATTTACTAACAAACAGATTTTGTTCAATTTGGTAAATGGAGAATTTAGGTGATAAATGATGGATTTACCAGTTAAATAAATGCTTTGATGTTGTAACCAATAAGCTGCTTTCTGATAATTTGGCGATTTAGATGATAAATCCCTCATTTACTAAATATTGGTTTATCTGGTAAATGAAGGAAATACGACATTTACCATATATATATAACAACGTTGCTTGAGGGAGTAAGAGAGCGAGAGAGAGAAAGAGGGACTGTCGGAGGAGAGTGAGCTTCGAACGATGGCAAGAATGGAAGAGAGAGAGCTTCGAACTATGGCAGAAATAGAGGAGAGAGAGAGAGAGAGAGAGAGAGAGTATAAGCGACAAAGAAGAGAGAGAAGTAGAAGATCGACAAATTTGGTATAAAAAAAAGGAGAAATTATATAAAATTCAAGGGGGTGAATTGGAAAACTCTGTTAGATTATTTTAAAATATGTTGTTTATTTCTATTATTTACCACGGCTCAATAAAAATTTTCCCTATGTGATTGGCATGGGACGACCCAATGTTGTTACGAGTTATTTTTATATTTAAATAATGCGGTGGACTTAACTTTATTTTAGCCTTTACAAGTAATATAAACTTTGTAAAAAGGGATCACTAGTGAGGATTGATTTTAATGGGTTCTATTCCGTAAGAGCAAAGTTTTGTTGCTTCTCATCCGTTTCGCGAATACGTCATCTGCAAAACATACGGGGGCATACTTGGTGTCATTGCAAGTCGATCTTTATGGTGTTTTTCGATGCAGTAGGAAAGATATTGGGTTCGAGAAAACTGTCCAATTCTTTGTTTAAAAGTTCAATTTTGAGAGTTCAGAATGGGAGGCAGTGAGGAACATCAACGACAAGGCGTTTTTCTTCAGTAATATTGGTAACTCATGGAGCATCGGCCTTGCGCACAATTTTGGCCTCGTCGCTTCGTGAATTTAAGTTTTATGTGACATTTTTAAAAAATTTTTAATTGTAGTAGAAAAATTAGATAAAATTAAATGTAATATTTTTTTGAGAGTTTTTAACTATAAAAACTTAGTATTAAAAACTTAAATCGGTAAAATGAACGAGACCTTTAATTGCAACAACAATAGCATTTTTCTTATGGCGATGACATGAAGATGGATTGGGTCTTGATATTGGTGTTTATCACATGTGGAAACTTGGAGCTGACGTTCCCAACCTCTCGCTACTTGGATTAAACCTAGTTCAACTCCAAGCACTTTTCGCCATTATATCTGAATTCTGTGGGTAATTTTCCTTGTTTACTTGTAATAATTGCTAATGGAGTTCCGTTGGATTGTCTTCAGTACAATTTAGTGGAGCTGCTTTATATATGTGATTGGAAAACCTTTTTTTTTTTTGGTTGTAATGAACAACTAAGGAGTTAGGAAAATTAGCATCAAAGCGCTTATAGGTTCTTCACAAACGAAGGGGAGGAGACGAAGTCTGCACTGGGTAGGAGGATTTGGAGTTTGCGTTATAAAGATCTCGTTCGCTTCGTGAATTCAAAATTTTAATTCGAGCTAAGATGTGACATTTTTTAAGAGCTTTTAACTGTTAGATGTGACGTTTTCTGAAAGTTTTTTAACTGTAGAAATTTAGAATTGAAAACTCGAATCTATAAAATGGACGATGCCAAAGTGTTCTTGTAGCGTGTGGTGAAAGGAGTTCTCCCAACTCGGGTCCGGGTGAGGATGTTTTCTTCTGATGTTGTGTGTTCAGTTTGTGCAGGTACTTTGGAGACTGATGCACATATCTGCTTTATGTGCTGGTTTGTTGGCCCTTGGTGTGTTAAGACGGAGATTCTACCTCTACAGAATGGAGCTGATTGTGTCGAGTGGTTACTGAACTCCCCTCATGGTATTCCGAATAAAGACTTCATCATTTGGGGCGCCATTGCTGCTACCAGCTGTGGAAAGTGCAGAATGATCAAGTGCTTAAGGGTGCCGACCACCGTTGGAGGCGCGAATTGGAGGTAATCAACTGCGTATTCAACGATCACCGAAGCGTTTTGGCGGGACAACCTCAGGCCAGCGAAGTTGTTGATATCCTTTCCTACAAAATAGGAATTGGCCAATCACATTTAAGCATGATAAAAATGAACCAATCAAAACAAAGGGAGTGGATAGGCTATAAAATAACTACTCTTTCTCTCCGAACACTATCCCATAAAACGTGGGATAAAATGCAAATAAAAAAATAACAACAGCATGCATATGCATGTGCAGTGTGTATACGTGAGGGAGTATGAGAGAGTAAAAAAAAAAAAAAAAAAAGAAAAAGAGAGAGGAGTTGTATGTAGAGAAAGGAAAAAGAATAGAGGAAAACACATAGAAATTTGTGTATTTGAAGACAAGAGTAAGTACTATTTCTTCCTCTTTTTCATCATTATTATTTCTCTGTTATATTTGCATAAAATTGCTTTCAAATGAAAGAACATCAGGAAACTATCTCTCTACAAAAGAAGATGTCCTATAGACACTGAAAAGTGTGGAACTTGTTCACACTCTCTAAGAAATGGTCTTATACATACCAAAAGGTGGGTGACTTGTTGTTCGCACTCTCTAAGAAGAGGCCTCATGAGTCGTATAGACACTGAAAGGTGTAGGACTTGTAAAAATCTGTTAATTGTAATTGAGATTTGCGTTTCTTTTAGATGCCTATAGAAGGGAGGCTCTGATAAGAACCAAGAAAAGATTATTATTGAAAACAAGAATTAGACTTGATTATAAGATAAATTTACAGACTTTCGAGAGATATGTTAGCTCTCCTAAGGGTTTCCCAAATTTACTCTAATCAATCCCCTCCTCACCCAAATACTAATACCTTTTTTTATATTACTAATACCCTTCTAACAAACTGTTAACAGCTATTACTACACTGTAACAAATTCTATTATCAAACTAACTACCCAAGACCATTCTTATTGAGTCCTATCAGGCTCTGACGTCTAGAGTTCCTCCTCCGAACTGGACGATCACTTTCTTCTTCCTCCATATACCATCATGGCCATATCTGATTCTCCTGGGATAGTTTTCAAGTGGATTCTCAGATCAGATAATGTCTTGGCCCATAAGCTTGCTCACAAAGCTTTGTTTCTTGATGTTAGTGATGTTGAGACTTTAGAGGAAGAAGCCACTCTGTGACTTCCTTGCTTTTAGCCTTTGGGCATTATTTATTTATTTATTATTTTTTTTTGCTAAACCATTACTGTAAGCTGATACCTAATAACATACCTTGACCTATCAAGCCCTCTTGTCATATTTTATAAAAAAGAAAGAGGTAAAATTTAAGGGCCCGTTTGGTAACGTTTTCAAAATGATTTTATTTTCAGTATAAAAATAAAAATAAGATTGTTTTGAGAATCATTTTAGGACCGATTCTAAAACTACGTTTGGTTAGTTTTTTAAAGATTATTTTGAGTATAATAAAAAAGTGAAATCATGTTTGGTTATAATTATTAATGAATATATTATAAAATTGTTGAAAAGTACTAGAAATTAAAAATAGAAAAGGAAAAATAACTTTTAACCGTTTTTAATTCCTTCACAAAAATCATTTTCATTGTTTTTTGTTTTCGTTTTTGTTTTTAGAACATTTGCTAAACAAACACAGTTTGCAGACTGTTTTCATTTTTGTGCATCAAAAACGTGCAAAACATTTTAAAAAATAATCAAAAACCAATTTCAAATGCACCTTAAATTTTTACACTTATAAAGACATAGTCTTACCGCTCCTGTCTCATTTGGGATTCAATCATATTATGTCACTTCATTTAACACACTAAAATTAAACGTGTGATTTGAACTTTACCACGTGAATAAAAACTAAAAAACTTTAACTTTTTTTTACTTGGGTATTTTTGTTTCATCCTCTCCAATATTCCATGACCCCTTCATCATATTGTACTTTGGAAAAAGGAAAAAAAGAAAAAAATGTTTAAAATTTTTTTTCTTTATTGAAACATCACAGAGAAACTAGTTTTTAGTTAAAAAAAAAAAATGATAATCAATTTCATAGATTTAATCCCATCTCACATAAATAGTGGATCTTACATGACACTCCCGTGGATTCCACCATTTGTGCGAAACGGAGATGCAACTGTCAGATTCGTATAAAAATTGTTTATTTTATATACTTTTTAATCTAATTTAATTTTAACTATATTTAACAGTAAAAAAAATTGGTCATACTAATATGACGGTTTACCAGAGAAACTCCCTAAATTAGTGATCGTTTAGGGCGCGTTCACTTCACTAATTTAAATTTATTGATTAGAGTTAAAAAAGTGAATTTGAGTTGTAAAAAATTTGAGTTTGGTTTGGATTTTGAATTAAGTGTTTAGGAAGAGAATAATTTAACATTTAAAACTTGAGTTTTGTGTTCACTTGTACTAAAACTAAACTCCAATTACAAAGAAGTATCATTTTCTACAGACACAATCCGCACTGTAGAATCAAACTTGAGTAATGAGAAAACAAGGAGTGGGTGAAACTCACCAACTCGAGTTTGAAATTTGAGTTACGTTTAATAAACACATAACTTTACTCAATTTCACACTCAAGTTGAGCTTACTCGAGTGTGATCTACAAAGTGAACGGCCCCTTAGTAAATTCTACATCTACAATGAAATAAAAAGTTCACAACAGAGTATTTTTCGTTATTTATGCAGAGTGAAGGGGCACCATCTCTTATTTCAGTAACATCTGGGCCTAAAAGTAGCATAAAGAGGAAATTGTTGTGCGGCATTCTCAAATGGGTTTAGGGTTTTAAGAAAGGGGGGGCTTTTCGGCTTTTAGCTTTTTATGTACAAAAACGTTCACCGTCACCACCACTCTACAACATCGAAAAAGCTCCTCCGCCATTTTTGCTGTTTAAGCTTCTGATTTCGCTTTCTCATCACTCACCATGTGGGCTCTTCGCCGTGCTTCTGCTCCTCTCAGGTATCATCGATTTTGCTTTACTCATTTTCATGTTTGGTTACTAAGAAAGTGAAGAAAAATGAAAGGAAAATTCTATGTTGGGTCTTGTTATTCTCGTGCTTTCGTGCCTAGGAACTTCAAAATTATTATTCATCTCTCTGCTTGGTTATGGAGATAGTAAACAGATTTAAGTTTCTTCGTCCTCTTTATTTTTCATTTTTTAGTTTCTGTCATCGATTTTTGAAGAAAGTTTGCTCAGATCGCCATTTCGGCTGAAAGTTATGCGGAAGAAAGTGTTGGAACAAAGTGTTTGTTCTTCTGTGCAAGTGTTTGAAAGACAAAGGGGAATAATTTTTCGAGTTGAAATGAAGGAAACACGTTTTCTCTTTAGCATTTGAAGTTTTAGAAGGAAAAAACAAAAATACATGGAAAAAGAGTTACACTAACGACGAACTTTATTTCAGAAAATTTCAAGATAACTGCAAAGTTTTTATTGAAAGGAAACCAAAATTTTGTTGGTAAATAGTTAGTAACTTATTTAAAATTGTAAAATTTTATAGCAATAAATTACATTTCTCTGACTACTGGAAAACCCAAATCTGAATTTCACTATCAAGAACTAAGTCATTTTTAGCATATTTGTTTCCTTAAAGAAGGGACTCATATGTGATAGTACCCTTTTTTTTTTTTTCGGGTTTGTTGTATTGAGACTTTGATGTGGTTGTTATTTACTTTATTCTCTTAATCAGGAATCGAGGATTTAGCATCTGTGCGTCTAGCGCTTCTTTTGCTGATTCGGAGTTACCAATTTTTTCCGTACAAGATAAAGCCGGTAACTTTGAATCTTCTGGATTGACATCTGATATGTGTCTCTCGTCAAAGGGGTTTCACCGCAGAAATCATGTTTCTGCAAATGTACTTCGTGTCAGGCGCACTCTTTCTTCACAAGCCGGTGAAAAAAGCAGTGGAGAGGAAGATGATTTGATGGATGGTTTTTCTGAACTTGAAGAAACAGACAGTGTTAAGACAGTTCAAAACACTAACGCTCAAGACGTGGATGAAGACGAACTGATTTCTGAACCAGATTTCTCTGAAGATGAATATGAAGTTGCTGATTCGTCCAAAAATGAGCTTGAGATGGACACTGAGGCTGGATTGAGTGAGAGCGTGTCTTCTAGGACTAACTCATTGCTTAGGACAGTCATGGTTACTCGAGGTATGCCTTTGCCTAAGGCTCTTGATGAGTGGGTTAAAGAAGGAAATGATTTGAGCCGTGGAGTGATCCTCTTTGTCATCCGCAAGCTTCGTAAGTATCGAATGTATGGCAAGGCATTGCAGGTGAGTTGCCATTCTCTAATTTATGCACTCTTTCTGTAGTTCATTTGCTTATATATTCAATTTCTAGTGCTAAAAACCTATGTTTACTTTTCTGTTGATTGTTGATTGATGCATTTCCTGGATGATTTAGATAAAGCCTTGCTGTGTCCAATTTTAGAATCAGTCTTGGTATTTAGTAACTCAATTCATGATTTTTTTTTGTTGTTTTTTTTTTTGTGCCTTGCCCTTGTTCGAAAGCTCTGTTAATTTTCTTTTCTTTTCTTTTCTTTTTGCCTCATACTTCAATTGTCTCCCAATCTCTCTCTCTCTCTCTCACGAGTGAGAAATGCTAAATATTACTGATCGACTCTATATATATAGACTAGAAAACAGACAAGAGGCATTTAGTTGATTTCTCTTGATGTGTGGTAATGCTTTTCCACAATGGTGATATATACACTCAATTTGCATAAACAATGGGATTTCTGATCATTATTTTCTTCATTCTCTGGTTGGTTGAGACTTTTGGTCTTTGATGGTGTGCAATGAGTTTTATCTATAGCACCAACGCTTAAAACATGGAGAATGGGATGGCAAAGTTTGTACCATATCCAGGGTATTTGGAACATATTTCTCTAAGCTCTCCGTGGAATCTTCTTTTGTGTGTGTGGGTGTTGGGGTGGGGGGGAATAGCACATCTGAGAGTGTTGAATGCCCAAACTGCACCACGCTATTGGCTTAAGGTTTTCATATTACAAGGAGTTATGCTTGTATTTTCTATAAGTTCTTTCACTAGGGCTCTTGGATAGTATTTGGAAATAATAGATAGCGTGTTTTGATATATATATATATATTTTTTTTTTAGCAAATTGAAACTCTTTCTCTTGTGTTATTTTCATGCTATCTGCAGTTAAATTTTGCTTTATTTATTCTAACACACACACACACACACACAGACTAGTTATTCAGTCCATGATGGATATCCTCATAATAACCAATTTGTTGAGATCTATTTTCTTTCATCATATAGACCATTTTTCTTAGCTTCCAATAAGAAATGGCATTGGGCGTTCTTTGAATTCTCAAATGCCATTTTTCTGGAATTTTAGATTCCTCTGAATTGCCTGGAATTCTTTGTTTTCTGCAATTTTCCTTTTCCGTTCCTCCTGTTTTTATGACTTAATTATGAATAGGATATTTATGCTTTATTTTGGCTGCCACCGACTGTGAGCATATTCATTGTCTCCCTGTGTGATTTTAGGTTTTCTAAGACTCCGTAGCTTTTGACATACTTATCCATTTCTTCTTTGTGCAGTTCTCAGAGTGGCTGGAGTCAAGGAAAAAACTTGAACTCGTTGAAAGAGATTATGCTTCTCGCGTCGACTTGATTGCTAAAGTATACGGACCTCAAAGGGCAGAGAAGTTCATTGAGAAGATTCCGAAGTCCTTAAAAGGGGAGTTAGTTTACCGAACCCTTTTGGCTAACTGTGTCCAAGCCAACAATTCAAAGAAAGCGGAGGAAGTGTTCAACAAAATAAAAGATCTTGAATTACCGCTCACATCATTTACTTGCAACCAGTTGCTCCTTCTTTACAAAAGGACTGACAGGAAGAAAATTGCGGATGTACTATTGTTGATGGAAAAAGAGAATGTGAAACCGTGTCTCATGACTTACAGAATATTGATAGATGTCAAAGGCCAATCCAATGACATAACGGGGATGGAACATATTTTGGAGACAATGAAGGCTGAAGGTATTGAAACAGACACACATACAAAAGCAGTCTTAGCGAGGAACTATGCCATTGCTGGACTTAAAGAGAAAGCTGAAGCTGTTCTGAAAGAGATGGAAGGGGACAATTTGAATGAGGATCCTAAGGTTAGAAGATATCTGCTTCTACTTTATGCAGAGCTTGGACATGCTGATGAAGTGGAGAGGGTTTGGAAGGCTTGCGAGTCAAATCCCAGGACTAGTGAGTTCCTTGCTGCGATCGAAGCTTGGGGAAAGTTAAAGAAGGTTAAAAAGGCTGAGGATGCTTTTGAGAAGATGCTAAAAGCTGTGAAGAAGCCTTCTGCAGTCCATTACAACGCGCTTTTGAGGGTGTATGCGAATCATAAGATGCTGACGAGAGGCAAGGATCTTATTAAGCGTATGGCGGAGAATGATGGCAAAATTTCCAGAATGACGTTGGATTCAGTTGTGAAACTCTATGTTGAAGCCGGAGAGATAGAAAAGGCTGACTCCGTGTTGCAGAAGGCCACTCAACAGAACCAATTGAAGCCGTTGTATGTGTCCTATATGGCTATAATGGATGAATACGCAAAGAAAGGTGATATTCACAACACAGAAAAGATGTTTCTTAGGATGAAGCAGGCTGGTTATGATGCTAGATTTCGTCAGTTCCAAGCTCTTATTCAGGCCTACGTAAATGCCAAGACACCAGCTTATGGGATTAGGGAGAGAATGAAGGCAGATAATATTTTCCCAAATCGAGCCTTGGCGGCGCAATTGACGCAGGTTGATGCATTTAGGAAGACAGCTGCGTCTGAATTGCTTGATTGAGGAACTTGTTGGTTTCTCTTGGAATGAGCTACCAGTATTTTTTTGGTTTTATCAGCTAATTTATCATGCATTGAATGCTGTTTAAATTTAATACGAGTCGCTGAAAGTTTAACTTCCTTATTTTTAGGTGTTGTCTAATGATAAAAAGTTTCAATCATTCAGATTTTAATCATCAATCGACTTAAAAAGAAACGGGATTCGGGGGAGTTCAGTTTTTAATTAGCATTTATTCTCGTATCTCTTTATACAAAATTGTATTCTAATCTAACAATTTGTTTTTTTTTTCCTTAATTATTTTTTTTATATGACATTTGGCCCATACCTCTCAATCTCTCATAAAACCCTAATTCAAGTTACCATTTACTCCATTGCCGTTTTGTCGTGCCGCCCTTTTTTGCTATTGATCAAGCAACAAATTAATGACAAAACCAAAACCAATTGAAAAAACCTTCACTGATCAGTCAGTTTGATGCTCAGTTTTCATGAATTGAGAAGCCGACGACGTCGGTCAGTGACTGAACCAATGAAAATTGTCGATCACCAATTCATGTACAAACCCTATTAAAAAGTGACGCTTGAAGTCGGCTAATATAACAACATAGCTCATTTCCAGACTAAAAGGAAGTTTAAGCACTGAAATTAAATGATGTCAAATGAAGCAGAATGCATTTGTTCCCGGGTTAGCGGGGAACTTAAATATTATAATTATATATATTATAATATAAATATCTATAATATAATTAATATTATATTATAATAATTTATATTATAATGTAATTATATCTTATAACATATAATAAAATATATTATAATTATATACGTATATTATAATATACCACATTTAATATTATAATAATATATTATATTATGTATTATACATTGTAATTATATTTATCATTATAATATAATATAGTTGTGATATTGTAACAAATAATTATAATAATAATTGGGATAGTAGTATTTTCTATAAAATTAAATATAATAACTGTATATTTTATGCATAATATTATTTTATTTTATTTTATTTTAAAAAATTATATTATATTACATTTTATATATTATAATATTATAATTATATTAACAATTTTAATAATATTGTTATATTATATATCATAATTATATAATAATAATTTTATTATATTATATTACATTTTATATATTATAATATTATAATTATATTAACAATTTTAATAATATTGTTATATTATATATCATAATTATATAATAATAATTTTATTATATTATATTACATTTTATATATTATAATATTATAATTATATTAACAATTTTAATAATATTGTTATATTATATATCATAATTATATAATAATAATTTTATTATATTATATTACATTTTATATATTATAATATTATAATTATATTAACAATTTTAATAATATTGTTATATTATATATCATAATTATATAATAATAATTTTATTATATTATATTACATTTTATATATTATAATATTATAATTATATTAACAATTTTAATAATATTGTTATATTATATATCATAATTATATAATAATAATTTTATTATATTATATTACATTTTATATATTATAATATTATAATTATATTAACAATTTTAATAATATTGTTATATTATATATCATAATTATATAATAATAATTTTATTATATTATATTACATCTTATAGATTATATTGATAGATAAAATATTAGTATTATATATAGCATAAGGGTAAGCTTTCCATTCCAGAGAATTCTAAGTATAACCAAATAAATGAATCAACTTTGTTTTCCATTCCATTCTCATTCCTATTCTCATTCTCATTCCTATTACCATTCCCTTACTGTAACTAAATACACCCTAATAGTTATGGATGGTATGAGGACGCATGGGTGCAAACACGACACTCATTTAAAAAGGTGGGGAATGAACTATAGAATTAATAAATACATTTACGCAACGTGTAAGCACTGGTCTAAATTAATTAAGGCACTAATTATAGATGAGTAAGGCACTGGTCTATGGTGATTTATGATTAAAGACACCAATTATAGATGAGTAAGGCACTAGTCTAATGATTAAAAAGAAAAATGACAGTCTTTGAGTATTATGAAAATGATATGCAAATAATTATGATATTGGTGATTTCTAAATATTGAGGATGCATTAAAAAATATAGTAATGATATATTAAACGAATTACAATCAAACTATAAGCATTGGAAAGTTATATCAATAAGCATATTATATATATAGATAACGTAAGAAAGGCAAGACATCAAAGAGGCATAACATTTAACATAGATAACTGACGAGTATTTGAATATTAACAATCTTGGATGTTGTAAAAAAATATATAAATAATGAACAAAAATGAATATTGACAGACATAAAAATGTAAATGCAAGTAAACGGGAAAAATGAATTATCATAATAAGTATATATACATATATTTAAGAATTTATATTTTATTAAAGGACAAATTATACTTTTTCCTTTTCAATTATTGACCTTGTAATAAAATAATGCTCTCTAAATTTTAAAAATAATAAATTTTCTTTTTGAATAATTAATCGTTAGCATGTATTTTTTTTATTTTCTCAGTTAAATTTTAAACATTAAAGCCCCGTTCATTTCGCCGATTCGAGTTTAGAATTCGAGTTTTGCTACAGTAAAAAGCTCTCAGAAATAGTCACGTCTAACTTTTTTGTTACAGTAAAAAGCTCTCACACAAAATCACATCTCAACTCGAATTATAAACTCGAATCAGCGAAGTGAACGCACATACCACGTAAAATCACTAAAACATTTAATTTTATTATGTTATAAAATGATAATTTTACCTTTATACTCATCCCCTTCTTACATTCTCTTTTATTTCACGGTCATTTCTGAATTTTGCCCTGTTCATCAAAAACCTCCATGAAATTCACAAACTTTCACACAGAAAATCCACCAAAAACGCCGACGAGCAACAATCCGGCCAAGATCGAGCCTTTGACAGTGGTGTCGCCCTCCAATCCGGCTTCGCCGCCGCCATTGTTGTCGTTGCCGTCGTCGGCCTTGGGGCTAGTGAAGAGCCACTTGAAGCTCTTCGGCGGAGGAGCGTTGGGAGTGGCGGTGGTCTTCTGAAGAGTCTTCTGTTTCTTTGTCTGGTTGAGAGAGGAGCAAGGAGTGAGAAAGGGGAAGCGCTGGTGAGGTTTGAAGCTGAAGAGGAAGGAGGAAGAAGGAGAAGGAGTGACGATTATAATTTTACACATACCCACACAAGGCTGTTTGAAAGATTCTACACCATTTCTTTCCTTTACTTTTATTTAGCCAAAAAGAAAAAAAAATAAAAAAACAAACAAAAACCAAAATGAAAAAGAAAGAAACATTCACACAAACACTGACAAGAACATAATATGCTCACACATAGCTCTACAAGGTCAAATGTTTAATGGGAATGGCAGAGGACTTTGAAAGAGATATGACGAGCTCGAGCAAATAACATAAAATGGCAGGGGAAACTTGTCCGCTGCAATCACCGCCGGCAATCGAAAACACCACATTCAAAAGAAATTTACTGCTGCACGCAACAAAACGTCAAAAGAGCATGGCCACCATCCGACAAACATATTAGAGACAACAACCTAAACAAACGACGTCTCACTTCAAAAGCGTGTCAGATCCACTCCAATAAAAGTATCACTTTACACACCGCCACTACCACGTAGAAGACGACATCGAGACGAATTTAGGGACCAAGTTTCTGGGTTGAACGGTAACGCGCCCGGAGACGGTTTTAAAATTCTAGCCAACTCACTCTCTCATTTTCTCTTTTCCTCGTTTCTCTTTATGGCCGGCTCCGATTAATGACAGAAATTTTAGATAACGAGAAAGTGACATTTACCATATCCCGGCTCAAACTTGGTACTCAAAAAAGAAGTGAAAAAAAAATAGTCGATTTTTTTTTTTTTTTCAATCTGTTAAGAACAAAAATGAATCTAAAACCACTCTTTAACTCGCACCCCACATAGCCAAATCGGAAAATTTCAAACCAAAAAAATTCTCCAATCCAAACAACCAAGCAAATTTAGATCAATCCCACCAATTTCCCTACCCAGAAAACAAAAATCCCAACTGTAATTGAACACTTTTCTTTTCTTTCTACCCCTTAAAACTTTTTAACCCATCAACAAAAAGATTAGAAAATTCGACAGTGAACAACACAGAAAAGACCAAAATCACTTATGCGCATCAAAGAAAGACATACGAAAATAGTCATTGTGCCATTAGAATTGCTTTAGTATGCAAATGACCTTCAAAGCTTCACCCCTTTTCGTTACATTTTTTAAGATTTCTTCAACCAAAAAAACCTCCAAATGTTTTCAGTTTATTACCAAAATTTTCACCATTTTCGAATGCTAACCTAGAAGAAAGGTGCATTTTACGTTAATACCCTTCGTTTTGGGTTATGAGCCACTCATGCGGTTATTTCGAATAACTAAAGCGAGAGAAATAAAAAATTTGTTAACGGAATAACAATTAGGAGAATAAATGTTATGAATAAAAGTTCGGTAAAGTGTTAAAAAAGTTTAAGAGGATTTTTTTAATTAATCATTGTGATTAAGGATCAAATCCTCCAAGTTTTTCATGAGAAAAAAAAAAGTAGAAAAAAGATACTTGAGTTCTATCAAGAATTGACAATGAAATAAACGACTATATGCAAATATAAAAAGAAAGAATTTTAATTATAAATCAGTAAATGATAGCAAATGATTTAACGATTTTTTTTTTCCTTTTCTTCTTGGTTTTATCAATACATGTTCATTCACTGTATATGAACTATATTAGAATCGATATTATCAAAAACATCAACTTTCTTCGCCTGCGACAACCGACGTTATTGCAATTTTACAGATCCTTGAGATCTATTATATTTATTTTGCTTGCAACGCGGGAAAGTTGGATATAAAGCAAAATTTTACTTATCTTGTCGAAATATCAGTGAAAAAATTTAGAATATTTTACAAATAGAAAAAATTGAAAATATTAATATAACTACTGCATAATTTATAGTAAGACAGATACAAATATTAATTTTATAGCAAGAAACTTGAATATTATTGTAATAATTATTATTATTATATGATTTTACTATTCCTAAAATATTTCAGAAAACATTTTTATTTCAACATTGTAATTTAGGGGATGT